CATGTGTCATACCCTGTCCTTAGGAGCCTATATCTCTTAGCCACATGTGTCATACCCTGTCCTTAGGAGCCTATATCTCTTAGCCACATGTGTCACACTGTATCCTTCGACTGTCATAGATGACAGAGGAGCCTTCATTATTCAAAGTCCTTCATCATCTTTATTTCACACCTGAGTAAAACTCTCATAACCTGAGGATTTGGGGTATCCGGCAAAAGGTGGGACTGAGATACAGTTCTTCTGGTGTCCATCCCCCTAACTGATCATCACCAACTCTTGTGTACTGAACTCTTACACTATCTGCAACACACCCCACCCCAAGTCAATCCCACTCTCAGAACAATTACTGCTGTGCTGGGAGCGGGTTGTCTATTGCTCTAGTCATTCCCTTTGACAGGGATAGATGCCAGCATCCTCCCTTGGAGGGCTTTTGCTGCCCACCCTCCCTCACACTATTTCCCTGTTGCACTTGGTATACAGTATTACAATTACATGCACCCAAGGTCCACACTAGCAGAGAATTTGTGGTCAGACTTAAACTTTCTTGGCTACTACAATATTTAGGGCTACTTGGACATGGCAGCAGTAAGCAGGTCAGTGTAACTAAGTAGGTAGTCCATTAATAGGCCATTTTCTACAAAATGATTTAATGTAACCAAGTATTTCAAATCAATAAGGACATTAATGGATAAAGGATAACTGATGATTAGTTATTTGGAGAGGAAGGAGATGCATAGTTTAAGATAAATTCTAGAAAGATTGTTTGAAATTTATGGTTTAAAATTATGTTCACAAATGCTTTTATGTTCTTTTTAAAGAGATGGAGTCTAGTTGCCCTCCCCTTGGGGATGAGCTTGCCTTACTGACTCAATTCTGTTCAGTTACTTTCCTATTGTTGTAATAAAACATCATGGCCAAAGCAACTTACAAGAAGAAAGCATTTAATTGGGCTTATGGTTTCAGGGAACTAGGAGTTCATCATGGCAGGGTAGCCTGGCAGCAAGCAGCAAGCATGGTGGCAGGAATGGCTGAGAGTGCACATCTTGATCTGCAAGCAGGAAGCAGAGAGGCAACACTGGAAATGGCCCAAGTCTTCTGGAACCCCAGAGCCCAACCCTGGTGACACACCTTCTCCAACAAGGCCGCACCTCCTATTCCTTCCCAAATAGCCACCAACTGGGAACCAACTGGGAACCAGGTACTCAAACACTCAAGCCTATGGGGTCTTTCTCATTCAAAGCACCACAGCTTCAGAGACTAGGATGTAAAAAGCTCTACGAAATTTTTTCTTTGCTTTTTCTTGCATCATTTGTTACCATTCCATAAGGACACTCAGCTAGACCTGCGGTGGGGGCCACATTGTCAGCAGTCACCTATGTGAGCCCGTTTGGAAGTAGATCCATCTCTAACTAAGATACTTCTTCAAATGGATCTCATGAGAGACCTTGTGTCGAAACCACTCAGTGAAGGAGAACAGGGTGAATATGAGCAAAGGACACTGTATACCTGAATGGAAACATCATAAATGTGACTATAAAAACAAAATGCATATAAGTTCCTGGCCAAAAGAAACATAATAGAACAATAAGTGCTTTTATGGTATTGGGTTTTATGGATAACCTGATATATATATACACACACACACATATATATACATATACATACATACACACACACATATATATATGTGTATATATATATATATATATATATATATCAAGCTATAACTAGTTCAAAGATCAAAAAGCAGTGTTTTTAAAGATAGAACAGAAGAAAGTTTGGAAAGAAAAGGATCTTTTGACTCTCGTGGAAAATTCTCATGTCACTTGAATATATATATTTCACCAGCTCATGCAACAAATGAAGCCACACTGACCATGTTGTTGGATGATGCCAGCTTTGGTTTCAGAGTTAAATGTGGTCCTTGGATCCCCCATGTTTTTGAGGTGCCATGGCAGTGAAAAGTCTGTCAGTATCCACCAAATATCCAGTTCCTCTTGTTGGCAGCCTCCTTTGCAGCTATAATGAATGATTCTGTACAGTTCAGTCTGGCCAAAAAGATAAAGGTGTGACAAAAGACACCGTTAGGCCCAAACCTTAAAAAAATATACCATGGGGTTAGGGGACCCTGGAGAGACGGCTCCTCAGTTAAGAACACTTGCTGCTCTTACAGAGAACCAAGGGTTGATTCCCAGCATCCATATCAGACAACTTAAAGCCATTCTTAACTCCAGATCAGGAGGTTCTAGGGCCCTTTTCTGACCTCTGTGGGCACTGCATATATGTGGTACACATACAGGCAGGCACACACATATACACAAATAAATAAAAGTAAAAATTTAATGATTAATCAAAAGTACACGATGGAACCTTCCAGCCTTCTCTTCCTCTACAGTGATATCTCCAGATTACTTCAACCAAATCTGACCCAGCCTGACTACCCTACCCCTTTCTAGGGTCTCTGGATCTTTGAAGGGTATTCTTCAGGGCCAGAGGGCCAATTCAAGATATGTGTGTCTGTCTAGATGGCTATCTCATTCAGTTTAGTGTGTGTGTGTGTGTGTGTGTGTGTGTGTGTGTGTGTGTGTGTGTGTGTGTTCTAACTCAGAGTCCTGTGCATGCTAGACAAGCTTTCTCTTAGTGAGTTACACCTCTAGCCAATTAGAATGCATCATGCAGACAGTTGACTTCTAGAGTTTGGGGGATCCTGGTTGTTTGATGGCAAGTTTCTAAGTCCAGCTTGCTCTCCCCTCCAACACAGCTCAACAGCGCCACCTGCCACACACTGCACAACCGGAGCGTCCAGGTCTGCAAGGAAAAGGGAATCAATCAATCACTGGGCAAACGGGAAGGTAATGTTCAGGACAGATTCCAAAGGTGACTCTCTCCTTAAGGCAGCAGATGTTCCTGCAATGAAGAACAAGTCCACACAAGAGTTTGAGAAGATATCGCCTCTAACTTAAGGACAGGTAGTCCCTAGAGAAGTCACAGAACCAGACAAAAGTAAGTTGAGCCACCATATCCTCTCAGCCCGCACATTTGGAGAGAAATCAAGCTGAGAAGCATGGAACCAAGGAAGCAGTTCGCTTCAGGTCGGTTTTCTCACCAGTACATGAGTCCCTTGAGAATTTAGCAGTCTGACTCAATTTAGGTTTGATTTTAATTTTTCACTCACGAATGCATTTATTTATTATTGCAAGTACTTATTAATGCAAGTATTTATTCAGTGGGTAACACATACCAGTTGACTTTGCCCCAATCCTTGAGCTTACAAAGACGATATATATATATATATGGTGGCTCTCGTATTCTAGTTATATTGTGTGCTGTGGGATGTTAATGTATGTCCTGTGGGAGCCCTTCTTGGGTTCCTTGTGGCGTTACCCAGCAGGTTTGCATAGAGGATGATTAGGACCATGG